GGCGGGGCGGGCGCAGCGGGACCCCCCCACACACACATACAGAGCACCGGCCTTGGCGTGGGGGGGACCGGCCGGGAGGCTCCCAGGGTGGGTGCACGACTAGGATTTGGGGGTCTCTGGTGCAGGTGGGGGGGCAGGGATGGGATTAGAGGGGCTTGCGGGAGCGAGGGGGCGCCTCCGGATCGGCGATCCCGATGGGGGTGCGGCGCTGGGATTTGGGGTCGTGGAGGGAATGGGGATTGCGGTGCTGGGATTTGGGGGGGTCTCCCCGTGGAGGTGTGGGGGGTGCAGAGCTGGAATCTGGGGGTGCTGGGTGGAGGTTGGGGGTGCAGCCAGGGGATTCGGGATCGCGAGCTGATCCTGCCACTGGGCGCCTGCTCCTCGGAGAGGTTCCCGGGCTGGGAAGCAGCAGGATGAAGAGGAGAAGGGTGGGCAAGGAGGGTCTGCTCACAGCCCCGAGACCCACCAGGGGCCAACACGGGGGGGGCACAGATCTGGCCTTGCCATCCCACCCCCTTCCCACTTCCGCAGTGTTCCCGGAGGCCGGGCAGGGTGTCCGGCGCCGCGTGGCACAGCGGCAGCGTCCCGCCGCGCGCCCGATAACTTCCGCAGTCGCAGCCGCCACGGCACAGGGCTCCGCTTCCGTTTTTCCGTTCCCCTGGCGGAAGCAGGTAAGATCTAGCAAAAAAAAAAAATGCTTCCTCCTAAATTTTGGGCTTTTTTTTTTTTTTTTTTCTTTTTTTTTAATTTGGCAATTTTGGGAACCTTCTTAAAATATTCTCCACCTGGATAGCCAGGTACCCTTGTTTGGGGCATGAGTGGTGGCACCATCCCGGTGCAGGGGAATTAGGAAAGGGGGATTTAAGGCATCTCTCTTAAAGGGATTTAAGGGAGAGGGAGGCTGGCATTTCCTCACCTCTTCCCGTGCCTCCTCCCCAGGTTTTGGGATCATGACGGAGGCGGCGGGTCCGAGGTCCACGCGCATCCTGGTGACCGGCGGCAGCGGCTTGGTGGGCAGAGCCATCGCGCAGGTGGTGGCCGATGGCGAGGGCCGCGCGGACGAGGAGTGGATCTTCGTGTCCTCCAAGGACGCCGACCTGACGTGAGGACGGAGCGGGACGAGGGGCTGCCTCGGCCGCCTCTGCGAGCCCACAGCTCTTCCATCCCCACAGGAGCGCTGCCGAGACCCGGGCCCTCTTCGAGAAGCACCGACCCACCCACGTGATCCACTTGGCCGCTATGGTTGGTGGCCTCTTCAAAAACATCCGCTGCAACCTGGATTTCTGGGTGAGACAGGGGTGAACGTGTGGCGCTGGGTGCCCATCCGGCCTCCCCTGTCGTTAGGGGAGCTGCTGGCCCGGCTGTGATGCCGCTGTCACCTTCTGCAGCGGAGGAACATCCACATCAACGACAACGTCCTGCACACGGCCTACGAGTGCGGCGTGCGCAAGGTCGTCTCCTGCCTCTCCACCTGCATCTTCCCAGACAAGACCACCTACCCCATTGATGAGAGCATGGTGAGCAGCCCTGTCCCCACTGCTGCCACCTGGGGTGGCCATGCGTGGGGACATGGACAGGTCCTGGAACGACCTCCATGCTCTCCTGCCTGCAGATTCACAACGGGCCCCCACACAGCTCCAACTTCGGCTACTCCTACGCCAAGAGGATGATCGATGTCCAGAATAGGTGCGGGTGGCCATGCAGGAGCCTTCCCCTCCGGGCTCCTCGGGATTAAGGATCCGGAGCAAGACCCTTGTTCCCTAGCCCATGTGACAGCCTGGGCATCACAGGGGACACCATGTGGTTTGCTCCTCATGGAGACCCCCCAGTTATCCTCTGTTCACATCCAGGGCCTACTTTGAGCAGCACGGCTGCCGCTTCACCGCCGTCATCCCCACCAACGTCTTCGGGCCCCACGACAACTTCAACATCGAGGACGGCCACGTCCTGCCAGGCCTCATCCACAAGGTCTACCTGGCCAAACGTGAGTGGCGTGGCAGCCCCCTGAGCCCCTCCTAGGGCTATGGGAGGGTGGATAAGGAAGCCAGAGGCTCCCTTGGTTGTCCCTAGGCCCCTGCTCTGCTCTGTTTAACTTTGTCCTGGATCTGATTGATGTTCTGAGTCCCTGCTGCTTTCCAGAGAAGAGAGAGCCTAGTTTGGCCTGGGCAGAGTCTGATGGCCCCAAAGGGCATTTCTTTAGTTACTAATTTGGATTTGGGAGGGTTTTTCCTCCATCTGGAACAACTTTCCTCTGGTCCTATTGCTCTATCAGCTGCCTCGAGGTAGTTGCTTTTGGAGGCTCTGCTGTTTATGGCCTCCTTTCTCCATCCTCCCCCAGAGACTGGCTCCCCGCTGACTGTTTGGGGCACGGGAAAACCTCGGAGACAGTTCATCTACTCCCTAGTACGTGCCTTCTCTGGCTGTATCCCACCTCCAGAGCCATGGGATGTGTGGGGAAGGAAAAGGGGGAGCGTTCGCTTTCTGCAGCTGGGATGGGAGGGAACCTGGGGTCTGCAGGAGGTGACGGTCCTTAGGGCGATGGGGACCTGCTGCTGAGCCAGGCCTCCCTGCAAAGCAGCCCCGTGCCCCTTTGTAGGACCTGGCTCGGCTCTTCCTTCGCGTCCTGCGGGAATATGATGAGATAGAGCCCATCATTTTGTCAGGTAAGAGCCAGCTGCCCCTGGACCTTAACACTGGCCCGCGAGGCCCACAGGGCTGGCAGCGGCCTCGGCTCCTGCCCTTCCCCACAGTCGGAGAAGATGATGAAGTCTCCATCAAGGAGGCAGCGGAGACGATCGCGGAAGCCATGGACTTCAAGGGAGAGCTTGTTGTATCCTTTACCGCCCAAGGACACCACTCAGGAGCTTATTCCTCAGAGCTGCTATGGAGTTTGGGGCAATGGTGCCACCCCAGGGGTGTCCATCAACCATGACCTGGGCAGAGCAGAACCTAAAGCCTCTTTCTCACTGTCCCCACGGGGAGACCTTGCAGCTTGGTCTCTACTTCATTTCCCTTAACGCCTCCTGCGGCCAGTTTGACGCCACCAAGGCGGATGGGCAGTTCAAGAAGACAGCCAGCAACGGCAAATTGAGGCGCTGCCTGCCCGGCTTCCAGTTTACCCCCTTCAAACAAGGTGAGGCAGCCCTGACAGCACTTCAGGACACCCTGGCAAAAGGGGGAACCCAGCAGCCCCCAAGCTGCCACCCTTAATGGAGCACAACCCCTGGAAACCCTCCTTGGGGACACCAGTTTGGCCCATCCTACAGCTCAGGCTTGGCCATCCCCTCTCTATCCTCAGCCCTGCCAGGGGGACAGGGCACTGATGGCTTCTCCTCTTCCTCCCTAGCTGTGAAGGAGACCTGCGCCTGGTTCACCGCCAACTATGCCAGTGCCAGGAAGTGACGGGCTCACCGCGGCCACCGTTGTCACCGGCGGCACACGTGTCACCTTCGACTCAGGGTTGTCCTTTGCTGGGGCAGAGGACGGGGGCTTAGTGGTGGTGGGAGCTGGAGCACATGGGGATGGGATCCCACATGCGCTCAATAGCAGTTAGGGAAAGCAGGGGGCAGGGTGCCCTGCGGTTCCTGTATGGGTGCAGAGCTGGCCTGGGGCAGCAGCTGTGACAAACCCTGCTGGGGGTGGGAGGGAGAAAAAAAAAATCCAAAAACAAACAAGAAAAGAGAGTTAGAAGTAGCATCTTATTTAGGAAATCAAGGAAAATGTCCTACTTGAGTAGCCCAGAGCTGTCGTGATGTTCCTACCTGCTGCTGGATGTGCAGCTTATGGGACGTGCACAGCCCCTGGCCAGGGCAGGAGGTGCTGGGGATGGCTCAGGGTACCCAGGTGTCCCCAAAGCTGCTGGCAGCCCCAGGAGGGACCCCGGGGACAAGGTGGTGGCAGCTGAATCCCTGGTCTGGTCTGAAGGGCAGCAGCTGCCTTTGTGCACCCCCTTTGCAAGGGGGAGCCTGGCGGCTCCTGCTGAACACGTAACAGGCGATGCTGCTAACGATGTGTGATTAAATTTAATAAATAGAAATTATGTTTCTTCCAGCACAGGAGGTGCAGCAGGGCCATCGCTATCGCTTTCTTTGCATGCCCTGGTGTGGTACCCACAACATAAATAAGGACCGTGCGGGTTCCCCTTGGGATGCTCACCGTGGGTGCGTAGGGTCGGGATGAACCCCTAGCTGGGCAAAAACAAGTCGAGTCCCTTGCTGTAACAACAGCATTTATTAAAATAGAAATAAGATTAAATACTCAGGCAAGCAGCGTTGCCCCAGCAAGGACAGCATGGACACGAGGTGAGGCCGTGTCATGTTCCACTGACACCGGCACCTTGTCCTTGTGCTCCAGAAGAGCCGAGGAAAGGGAAGGAGTCAGGTCTGGGGAGACAACATCTGCCTGCAGCCATGGAACTGGCAGAAGACCTGCCCGGGGACGGCCCTTTTGCGGCACCGCTGCCCAGCTCTGGTGAGTCCCTGGCACAGGAGCCGTGGGGACAGCGAGGACCTGGGGAGGAGACACCCATCAGTGCCTGAGGTGCCAGGAGCCCTTCCTGCACCCTGGGGTGCCCATAGGGTGACATTGGTCCCAGCGTATCCCCTGGAGCAGAGATGTCCCCCGCAGTTGGTACTCACACGTTGCTGGCTGGACGTTGGCTTGGGCTGTAGGGTCTGGCTTCCCAAAGGTGCCCAGGTCCCGGGCCCGTCTCCATTGTCACCTGGGTGACAAGAGGGGAATGGCAGGGAGCATCTCCATCCCCATGGCCCTCCTGTGCTGCAGGAGGTGCCCCTTTCCCCCACCCTCAGGAGATGTGGGTCCTGCCTGGACAGGATGGGTGCATCCTTCCACCCAAGGGACCATCCAAACCACATCCCCCTTCAAATACTGCAGGAGGGTGAGACCCATCCTTAGAGGGACATACAAAAGAGCTGGGAGCCAAGAGGAAAGGTGCCCATCACGTGGCAAGGAAAGGGACAGCAGGACATGGCCAGCTTCAAGAGGATGGCATGGTGACACCCAAGGGACACCACAGCACCTTCCCATTCATGGCCACCTTGGGTCTGATCCAACTCAGGCTCACCCCACGCAGGCTCCTGCGGGTGACGGGATGCCTGGGCAAAGCGGCCAAGCTTGGCTTAGTCCTCTGGCTGCTGGAGATCAGTGACACAGCTCCTGATGTCCTGGGGTCCCCTGCCACCATGGGGGACTGTTCTGGGCATGAAGGGTCTGCAAAACATTGCACGGCTGGTGAAAGGTCCCCCTTGCATCGCTGTCCCTAGTGTAGGATGGGGACACCTTAGGGTGACACCGACCTCTGCTCCGGAATCCCTGAGTATGGAATAGGGACATCCTGGGGCTCCAGAGGCACTGTCCCACAGCCGACTTGTGGTTAACTGACCCCCTCCCAAGAATGACTTCCATTCCTAAAACTCAGCTGAGCCTTCACCCCATTTCTGATGATGCTCTCGGGCACTTGGTGGCAGAATCCCTGGTCAGGGGAACCCCAGGGGACATCCTCAGTGCTTCAGTGGCTCTCACCTTGCAGGTAGCTCAGCTCCAGCTGGTCCAGCTCATCCAATAGCAGCTGCATTTCGCATCTCCTGCATGGGAAGAAGCCTCCAAATGCCAGCACCGCTGCAGCCAGGACCTCAGTCCTGCATCCAGGTCCTTCTCTGGCCACTTTGGCACCCTCTGCTCCTCCACAGAGGCCAGATCCAAGGCAGATCCTCCCATCCCACGTGAACCCAAGTGCCTCCCATAGGTCACTACGCATACCCCTGCTCCCACAGCCCCATACCTCTTGGGGGTGGAGGTGAGGTGGCAGCCAGGCTCTCCCAGACCTGGGGACGGTGGCATTGGGACTCCCTGAGTGCTACAGGGTGCCAGCAACTGGAGTCCTGCAGGGAGGTGAGAAGGTGGCGGGCAGCTCAGGATGCCTGGGGCGCTTGGTGTGGGATCCTGGTCCCTACCTATGGTGACAAGCCCAAGGAGGGCAGGGAAGGAGGGGAGGAGCAGCAGGACAGCAGGCACCAGCAGCAGGGCCAGGAGCAGGAGGCAGGTGCTGCAGGGCACACATGCAATGCTGGCATCCAGCCCTGTGGTCTTGACGTGCCGTGGACCGCTCCATGTGTTGTTCAGGGTGGAAAGCACCCATCCCAGGCTCCGGTTCATCCTCCACAGCTTCTCCATCACCTCCTTACAGTACCGTGCTGTGTGGTTCTGCTGGGCTGCAAGCAGGGTCTCTGTGGGGAGGCACCAGAGCCCATGTCCATGTCCTGGTGCCTGCTCCTGACAAAGGGGCTGGGATGTTGCAGCCTCCCAGGGTACAAATCTCCCATGACGGTGGCTCTTACCCATCTTCTTGGTGATGTCCTCCAAGAGACGGGCAACCTGGTGCTGCCAGTGGGCAACAGGGGCTTCCTCCAGCTCCATCCACTCACTGCTGCTGTCCCAAAGCTCCGCTGGCTGCTCCAGCAGTGTCTCCTGCTCCTCCTGGACAGGAACCAAGAATGAAGAGTTTGAACCCCAACAGAAGTGGAAAAAAATAAAGTAACTAAAGAATCTAAAGAGCTTCTGGGACCAGGTCTGTACACATTAGATGATGATCTCTGTCATCTGAAGCCACATCTGGGCAACTTTGAGGTGCGGCAGATTTTGGAGTTGGAACAAAAGCCCTTACCCATCACTACAACCAGAATAGATTGGGTTAGGGAACTTGAGCTGAGCACATTGGGTGCTGGAGGGACCCACCACTACAAGGGTTTGGGAACACCATAGGGAATAGGATAACTGGAGGAAGCTGGAAACGGCTTAGGGGGACAAGCCTTGGCTTGCAAGCCACGTTTTACACTTGGTGGCCCCGCTGCCTTACCACATCCAGGGTGCGAGGGTAGGACCCAGGGCCCTCCATATGGCCCTGACAGCTGGAGAGGAGCCCCACCAGCTCGTCCTCGCTCAGGTGGACACAGGACAAGCAAATCCAGGCCATGATCTGGTGGCAGTGGAGGCATTAAGGGGACCCTGACAGCATCAGCAGCTCCCAGAGACCCCCAGCTTCCTGAGGGATCCCACACCCAGCACTGAGAGGAATCCAGGAACAAAGGGTCCTGGCCACCAGCTTTGGTCAGAGCACCCACCCCATCTGGTGTCACCTCAAAGGGGACACGCAGAGAGCTGCAGAGCTCCGACACCTCCTGGGGAGCGATGCCAAGGTGCAGCCAGCCCGGAATCCTGCTGACAGCCAGGCAGAAGAGCAGGACAGTCCACGGCAGCATGGTGGGAGGCAGTAAGGAGAGACAGGGTAAGGCAGGGCAAGGGGTGCTGAGCACCCAATGGTGCCTCACAGCCCCCACGTCAAAACCCGGAGCGAAAGGGAGTGGGCGCAGAGGGACCCGCGTGGGCGCTGCAGGGACCCGCGCCCGCAGCGCGCGCCCTGACGGAACCCGGCGCCAGGCCCCGCCCCTTATCGCGGCGGCGCGCCCCGCCCAGCCAATGAGCGGCCGGGCCCCGGCGGAGGGGCGTGGCCGCCGGTGGGCGTGGCGGTGACGTAGGCGGCGGGCTGGCGCGCCGGCGCCACGTGGGTGCGCGGCCATGGAGGCGGCGGAGCTGCGCGTGGGCTTCGTGGGCGCCGGGCGCATGGCGGGCGGCGTGGCCCGCGGGCTGCTGCTGGCAGGTAGGGACGGGGCTGCCCCCGGGAGCCGTGTGGGGACGTGGGGACAGCCCCGTCCTGCACCCCCGACCCTGTCCCTGCCCCCGGGAGCCGTGTGTGGATGTGGGGACAGCCCTGTCCTGCTCCCCCGACCCTGTCCCTGCCCTTGGGAGCGGTGTGGGGACATGAGGACAGCCCCGTCCTGCATCCCCGAACCTGTCCCTGCCCCACGGAGCGGTGTGGGGACATGGGGTCAGCCCCGTCCTGCACCCTCGACCCTGTCCCTGCCCCACGGAGCGGTGTGGGGACACTGGGACAGCCCTGTCTGCATCCTCTGACCCGTGTCCCTGCCCCACGGAGCAGTATAGGGACAGCCCCGTCCTGCACCCCCACCCCTGTCTCTGTCCCATGGAGCAGTGTGGAGACATTGGGACAGCCTCATCCTGCACCCCCAACCCTGTCCCTGCCCTGTAGAGCAGTATAGGGACAGCCCCATCCTGCACCCCCGACCTCGTCCCTGCCCCACGGAGCAGTGTGGGGACAGCCCCGTCATGCATCCTTGACCCATGTCCTTGTCCCACGGAGCTATATAAGGATACGGGGACAGCCTTATTCTGCACCCCTGATCCATGTACCTACCCCACAGAGTGATGTATGTGTATGGTGACAATGCCATCCTACACCCCGTGACCCTGTCTCTGCCCCACGGAGCAGTATGGGAACACAGGGACAGCCTCATCCTACACCCCCGACCCCTGTCACTGCCCCGTGGAGCAGGGGACAGCCCCATTCTGTCCCCTCCTGCCCCATAAAGCAGCTTGGGGGCACAGGCACAGCAATATCCGATATTCCTCCCTAGCATCCCCCTCCATAGGTCCCTGTCCCACAGAGCGGTGTGGGGACACAGGGCCATCCCACGTTATCCCTACAGAGCCGTGTGGGTGACAGTGACAGCCCTAATGCGTGGGCTGGAAGCGGGGTCCGCAGCCATCCCCATGCAGTACCCGTGCTGAGCTGCTGGTCCCCACAGCCGGCAGTGGGGCAGCCCCACAGCTGATGTGACCGGAGCCCTGCGGGCACGGGGACACCCATGCTCCCTTGGGGGTGCCGGGCTCTGCTAGGGGGTCTCCCCAGCAGCTCGTCACCGTGAGCATTGTATTTTTAAAGGGAAGGTGCCAGCTGAAAACATCCTGGTCAGCGCGCCCTCAGAGAAAAACCTGGGCGCCTTCCGGGTGAGTGGGGCCACCGGGACTGGGGCACTGGGGCTTGCGTTGGAGCTGAGGTGACAAATTACCCCGCTCGGAACCACAGCGGTACGAGGCCACTGGCACCCAGCACCACAGCACGGAGGGAAGGATGCTGGGGTGCCCTGTGCTGTGATTTTGGGGTGCCCTTTCCCTTTGCCATTCAGGCAAAGCCATAGGGGCTCTGTGGCTGGAGCAAGTCCCCAACCTGTGTCCCCTGCCCAGCGTGCAGGGATGGGACGGCGGGAGGAGCAGGGGGGTCCTCGTCCAAGGTTAAATGCTGTCCCGAGGGTGTCGTAACGCGAGTCGCCGGCCTCTGACGCGTTTCTGCGCCGCGGGCAGGACTCCGGCTGCCGCACGACGCACTGCAACCTGGAGGTGCTGCAGGACAGCACCCTGGTCTTCCTGGCCACCAAGCCGCACGTCCTGCCGGGCGTCCTGCAGGAGATCCGGCCCGCCGTGGGCCCGCACCACGTCATCGTCTCGCTGGCCGCCGGCGTCACCCTCGGCACCCTGCAGCGGGTGAGTACGCGGCTCCGCTCGCTCTTCCCCGCGCCGCGTACTCCAGGACACTCTGCGCCTCTGTGTCGCTTCCAGGGCAGCGCTCCGGCCTTTCCTGCAGCCTCCGAGCTTCGTGCTTTGCTTTTTCCTCAGCAATTCCTGCTCTAGTGGGGTTGAGATGGGTGATTGCAGAGAGATGTGTGTCCCTGTCATTGTCCAGGCTGCATCCTTTGTGCTTCGAGTCTTACCCGGCACTTCCCCGCTAGCTTTGACGGGTGTTTTGCACCGCTGTGGGAGCAGCGTGCGGCAAAAGGAGCTGCTTCCCGGAGCCCCGTGGGCATCTCTGCCCTGTGCCCGTCTCTCCACAGCTGCTCCCCACCGGGACCAAGGTGTTGCGCCTCATGCCCAACCTGCCGTGCGTGGTGCAGGCCGGGGCCATGGTATTTGCCCGGGGCGACCGTGCCGGCGAGCACGAGGCCGCCCTGCTCAAGAGCCTGCTCTCCTCCTGTGGCCTCTGCGAGGAGGTGCCCGAATCCTACATCGACATCCACACGGGCCTCAGCGGCAGCGGGGTGGCCTACGTACGTGTCCCTGAATCCCGCCCCTTGCTCCGGCGGTGCCGCCTTCCCGGCGGGATGCCCGGCTGCCTGCATCTCGCCGCCTGACGCAGCCATTCCTCATCGCAGGTTTACCTGTTCGCTGAAGCCCTGGCTGAAGGGGCTGTCAAGATGGGCATGCCGGGGCCCTTAGCCAGCAGGATCGCGGCCCAGACGCTGCTGGTGAGTCGGTGCTGTTGCTCAGGGCACTGCATGGGTCCTCCCTGTTCTCCTCCGAGTCCTCCCTGCTGTCTCGGGCATCCCTGTGCTGTCCTGGCTCTTCCCTTGACTTTGCGGTTCCTCCCCGTGTCCCATGGGACCCCCAAATGCCACCAGATCCCAGCTGGAAGCAGGTAGAGCCAGGTGGCTGCAGGCACGTTTGAGCAGCCCAGGGCCACTGCCACCTCCTCCTGACAGCCAGGCAGAGGGGGGACATCGGGTCCTGCTTTATGCCGGGAAAAGCATTGGCATGCCCTATGCGGATCCCCTTTCCCCAAGCGAGCATGGGGCAGAGCAGGAGAGGTGCTGCATGCCCCACTGCCTCAGTTTCCCCCCTGGAAACCAAAGACGGGGCAGTGAGGAGATTGCAAGGGCCCATCCGTGGGACGGAGGCTCCGTCCCCTCGCCCGCCTGCAGAAGGAGGCAGGAGACGGGAGCTGCCGTCGCGGCCTGTGCCCCCCTCGCAGGGCGCAGCAAAGATGCTGCTGGAGACGGGCGAGCACCCGGCGAAGCTGCGCGGGGACGTCTGCACGCCCGGCGGCACCACCATCCATGCGCTGCACCAGCTGGAGAAGGGCGCGCTGCGCGCCACCGTCATGAGCGCCGTGGAGGCGGCCACCAACCGCGCGCGCGACATGGGCCACGACTAGCGTGGCCACGTGGCCGCCCATCTCGCTGTCCTCCGTGGGGCGGCGGGCGCCGGAGCTGCCCCTCTCCCTGCTTGGGGTCTTCCTCCTGTGATGGTGTCCCTGGATTAAACTCCTGCTGGGAGGATGGGGGAGGCTGGAGGGACCCTGACTCCTCCAGGAGACCGTGGCCGGAGGTGTCTCCATGTGGAAGTGTCTCCATGTGTGTACCTGTATGTGACCCTTCTGCAGGGCCAGGGCCTAATAAACAGCTTGGGCAGCAGGACCACACAGGCCTGGCTCTTTCTGGTCCCCGGGAGCCCCTCCATGGGGAGGGGACTCTGGGAAACTCCACGCATGGAGATGAAGCTGCATTGGCTGGAGGAGACCATGAGAAAAGGACCTGGAGGTGGACACAGCTTTGGAAAGCGGCTAAGAACCAGATCGAGGACTTTTCCTCCCCATCTCCCCTGCTTCCATGTCCTGCGCCTTCCTTTATAATGTGGTGACCTGTCTCATTGTCCCCTGATTTCCACGGCGAAGGCAGGGGATGCAGCTGCAGGGGACACCGCGGTGGCTGGGGCCTCCCGGCACCTCTCTTTGGGGAGGATCAGGGCATTTTGCAAGCCCTAATTAAGCTCTGCTTCCTCCCAGCATGGAGTTAATTAGCAAAGCTTTGTGAAACGCTTTGAAGACAAGATGCTCTTTCTGGGCAAAATAACATTGCAGAAGCAGCCAGGACTGGGCTCCTGCTTGCCGGGTCGTGCCGCTTTGATCCCTTTCCCCAGGGTCCCTCTGATGCCCGGTGGCACCAGCCACCAGACACCCCATTCACGTGGCATCACCTCCGTGGGCAGCCAGCTCAGCCTCTCCAGGCGCCTAATTAATTATCCCAGCTCCATTAAAGGAGGGGATGGCACTTGGGAGCCCGCTAGCTCCTTCTCTCCATCCCTTTGTCCTCCAGTTCTCCCGCTTTTTCCCTAATCCTTGTCCCCATCCTCCCCACGGCCACTTCCAAGGTTTCTTCCCATTTCAATAAGCCAAAGGGATGGATGTTTCCCCAGCTGCTCCTCTTCCCTTTGCTCTTGCTGTTTGGACAGCGACCAAGCAAGCAACCCTTCTGCCAGGCCAATTCCGTCCAAATTCCAGGTCCAACCTCAACTAAAGAGGTTTCATCTCTCAATGTGAGGCCAAGAGAAGATGTTAGACCGAGAGCAAGCAGGATTTGGTTTGTCTTAGGAGTAAAAAAAATAGGAAAACCCACCTAAAGTGGATAGTAACAGCAGTAGGATGTTGCTTGTTAGGTTGGCCCAAGATGGGAAGAGACAGCTCCAACCTGGACGTTTCGTGCGTTTTTTCTTTCCTTTACATTCCTTGGAAGTTTCGTTCACGAGCTGCTGTTAATAAAGGAAAAGGGCACTTTTAAGAAATGCTCTTTTAATATATTTCCCCAGTACGGGAAAATATATTTCCCAGGTGGAAACGGGGCCCGTGGCTACGTTGCCTGGAGAGGCAGCGGCTGCACCGAGCTCCGCATCGAGGTTCTTGCTCACAAAAGACAACCCTTGGGGTGGGCAGAAAAATCCATTTAATCTCCATAAACTCCGCAGGCGCAAGGCAAAGACCCAAGAGCTTAAGACCAGCCACCCGCCTGCTGACGCGCTCCAGCACAGCCGACTCATTACCCCCCTTCCCCTTCAAAAAATGTGGCCAAATGGATTAAAATTTCTCCCAAACCAGCCAGGAGAGGAGCCACTAACGCCCCTTTGATGCCTCCAATGTCTCAAGTTGACACCGGGAGCCCTTCCTGATCCCCTCCCACTCCAGATGGGAATCGGCTCCAGCCTCCAAATCCCAGAGGTTCCTTCAGTGTCCTCCCTCTTGGATCCTTGGGCTTTGTGGAGACATTCAGATGAAGATCCCCGTTCAGCAGGTCACTGTGGACTGAAAGTCCTTGTCTCCGTGGTTGTCACAGGAGGGGAATTAATTAGGGATGCAAAGCAGGTCTCTCCCCATGTCCCCTGCGGCAGGGCTGGGATGGAACGTGGAGGACGTCGGCCACCCCATCCCAAGGCTCCATCTCAAGGGATTACAAAAATAGCACCTCCTAAACACCCTTCGGGTGGGCAACAGCCCGCGGAGGGTATCATGCAAGCCGCCCACTTAGCCCTCAATTTACACTCCCTTTAGCATAAGGGAGCTGCGGGAGCCCGGATGCAGGGGTGACGGGAGCTGGACCCCCGCAGGAGAGCCGGGATGTTCCCAGCGCCCTGGAGGGGTCCAGGGCTGTGTCCCCCCATACCCGAGCAAGGCGGGGGGCACTAGGAAGGGGTCCCGCCGCCGCGCTGCAGCCGCTGGGCCATGCTGATGAGCGAGCGGAGCTGCACCAGCTTGAGCGGCCCCACTTGCCGGGGGTCCTGGCTCTCCAGCCAGCGCAGCGCCGTCTCCAGCCCCCGGATGGCTTCCCGCGCCGTGGGCGGCAAGGGATCGCCCTCTTCCCTGTCCCTTGCATCAGCAGCAGCCTCCTCCTCCTCCTCTTCCTCCTCAGCCCTGCAGCCGCCTTCGTCCTCGGCGCCCTCCTCATCCCCCTCGGCACCCGGGTTGTCGTCCAAGTGCAGCCAGGCGGCCACCTCCTGCGGGGCCAGGCGCTTGCAGGCCAGCGCAGCCAGATGGGTGAGGTCGCTGAAGACCCTGGTGTCGCCGGCGCCTTCGTCACTGCACCGCGGTGCCTCCTCCTCCTCCTCCTCCTCATGCCGCGGCTCGAAGGCGGCACGCAGCCCCAGCAGCCAGCACCGCTCGATGGAGCGCGGCGGGATGAGCTCCCACGCGAGGCCGGCCAGGCAGAGCATGTCCTTGAGCAGGAAGGAGCGCACGAAGTCTGCGGCGGCGCACGACGCGGCCACGCGCAGCAGCTCCCGCTTGTAGAGCTGCTTGAAGGCCGCCGCCACCCCCTGCTCCAGCGGCGCCGCCACCCGGCCTCCCGCTCCGCCGCCCTTGGAGAGGAAGAGGGCCCGGATGGCGCCGTCGGGCGTCTGCAGCGGCTCCTCGGCACCGGCGGGCGCTGAAGCGGCGCCGCCGAGCAGCAGGACGGCCTTGGGCTGCAGGCAGCGGCGGCGCAGGTAGCGCCTGACGGCGGGCACGAAGTCCTCGAAGAACCAGGCGCGGAGCAGCGGCGGCGCCAGGCGCCCGCGGGCGCCGTGGCGGTAGCCGGCGGGGAACTTGTCGCGGTTGTGGTGGCGGAGGCTGCGCGGGTCGCGCAGGGCGCCCACCACGAGCGGCTTGAGCTTGTGGGCGCCCGTGAGGTTGGCGGCGAGCAGCACGGTGACGCGGCGCCCGCCGCGCGCCTGCCCCGGCAGCAGCTTCCAGTAGAGCCCGGTGATGCTGGCGTTGTAGATCTGCTCGTCGCCGTAGGCGCTGGCATCAGCGGGCACCGCGGGCGCCCGCTCGGCGCCACTCTCCCCATAGACGCGCTGGCTGGAGATGCCGTGGCGCTTCTGCCAGCGCCAGAACCACCCGTGGCTCGCCTTGAAGGTGCACTCGGGCCCGTAGAGGTGGCGGGCGAAGGCCTCCGCCTGCGCCTGGATGAGCGGCCCCGAGAGGGGCACGCCGCGGCGGCGCAGCGCCGCGAACCACGCGTACACGGCGCGGTCGACCTCCTCCTCGTTGGCCAGGCGCATCTTCTTGCGGCGCGTGCCCACGTCGCCGCCGAGCCGCGCCAGGAACCAGCGCAGCTTGGCCTCGTCCTTGAGCCAGCCGCGCAGCGTGCCGCCGGGCACGCCGAACGCGCGGCACACGGCCGCCTGCCGCTCGCCCTGCTTCACGCGCTCGATGGCCTGCAGCTTGTCCTGGATGGAGTAGGCGCGGCGCAGCGACATCTTCACTGCGGAGGGGCCGCCGCCGCCGCTGCTGCTGCCACCGCTGTCACCCTGCCCGCCCGCCATGCCACCTGCCCCCCCCTTCCTCCTCCTCCTCCTCCTCCCCCCCGGCCATAGAGCCGCCCGTAGCCACCATGGGCACGCGCGGTACCGGGAGGGGGGCGCGTTATAACCGGGGCGGAGCGTTGGGGGGGGAGGGAGGACGAGGCGCCTTTGTCCGCGCTCCGCGGGAGGGGCGGCGCGCAGCGCGCATGCGCAGCCTGCTCGCCCTCTCCTCCTCCCCCCCCCCCTTTAGCAAGTAGACTCGTCCCTAATCTCCCTCCCCCCCTGTCACTGCGTTGGACTCGCCCTCCTCCCCCTCCGCCGCGCTCTGCGGCCGGGTTGTACCATCAGCTTTGGAGGGGGAGGCGGCGCATCACAGCCGCGCGGGCCTTCCCCTCTCTCCCCTTCCCCACTCGATAGTTCCATCGCTGTGGAGAACGCGGGGGGGATTCGGAGGCGGGGGGTGGGTCGCCCCCTTAGCGCCTCGCGGATGCCTCTTCTCCTCCGCCCCCCCCGCGCTTGGTACGCGCCGCGCCCCACAACCCCCCGCGCGCCGCGCGGCGCCTCCCTTTGCCTGGCGCCGGCCGAGCGGAGCGGAGGCGCCCGCGGCCCCCCCCCCGGCCTCAGCGCTGCCGGTGAGTGCGGGACCCCCCCGCGCCGGGCCCGGGAGGGGGCTCCGCGGCGGGGAGGGGGCTCCGCGCCTCGCCGCGGATGGGGGCGGCGGCGGGATCCCTCCCCTCTTAGGGGCC